TATCTTTGCTAAGTTGCGAAAACACACTTCCCACTTGTGGAACACTGACTAAACCCTCAGTGAAGGTTTCCGCCACTAAAGTAACAGTAACCCTTTCAGCGCTGTGGCAGAGAATGAAAAACTACCGCTCTCTAATGCAACCCTTAAACAAACACAAATGTTGGGGACTACAAGAAACCTCCTGTATTACAAGAGGGGAAAAGACTCTGGACCTTGCTTTGATTTGGGGCTGTGTTTATCCAGTAAATCATGAACAGTAACAAGGAAATTATTATTGGGCTGTTATCCTGTACTGATAAGGCTGCATTAAACAGATCCTTATCTTACTGATATGTCTTGGCTACAGACTGCGGTTTATGTGGTCAGCCTCCCACATTTTTTCAAAGTGCAAGATATCAAGTGTTAAGTGTCTCTGCTGTATTGTGAAAATCTGATAGTTAGTTGTGCATTATTATACAGAAATAGAATGTGATATGTGTACTAGCATGTGTTTACCCAGCAGTGTATGGATGTATATATATTTATCAGTTATACATTCATGGGTGTTGAAAGCGGAGGGGAGTTGGGTGACAAAATCCCCCAGAAAATCTAGAGGAGGGATAAGTGGGGTAAGATCCTCCAATCATGATACTGTAGCTCTAAAATCATACGTTGATGTGCCTCAATGCTTGGTCAGGCTCCGCCTACTCTCCTCCCCTGCCAACGTGCTTTCCTATGGGGATTTCGGTGACGCTGAAGGTCCTCACAGAGCGTGAGGACGTCCAGTGTCATATAACACACTTTTAGTGTTCCGAGAACACGGAAGTCCCTCTAGGGGCTGTCTGATAGACAGCCACTAGAGGAGGACTTAACCCTGCAAGGTAATTATTGCAGAACTACACTTGCAGGGTTAAGGGTAGTGGGAGTTGGCACCCAGACCACTCCAATGGGCAGAAGTGGTCTGGGAGTATCCCTTTAATAACCCTCCTAGTGATGATATGTTGTTTTACCTACAGAAACGGCATGGTTAAGCATATACCCCCCAAGGGAAACACATTTGCTATGAAAGAGAATCTGCGCGCAGATGTAAAAAATTTACATTTTTACATTTTTTGTAATATATTTTAAAAATAATGAATAGGGCTCTATTTGCAAATATATATATATATCTAGTGTAAACCAATATTAGTAAACACTAATAGAAAAATCAGGTCCAGGTTATATTGGAGTAACAAAAATAAAAGGCACAGAATACAGATCAAAATATTAAAAGCACAAAAAATGGATATACAAGTAATATTTAAAAAAAAAATGATAAATAAAAGCAGTGCCTAAAATATGGAGATTAGCAATCTGGCTCTTAAAAATAGAGGGAGTCAAAGAATATACAAATAGCCAATGGATAAGACCACAGTTGATCAAATAAAACTTTAGGGGAGGGGGGCTAGGGGGGTTCACCAATCCTCCCTGAAAAAATTAAATCAGTAACACTTATAATAAAAATAAGATGCAGGGTGTCCAGGAGCTAAATCAAATAAATTAAAACACTCTAGTAATATAGTATACCAAAACTGAAGTTCTTATATGCTTTTAAAAGAAGAAAAACTACCACAACAAGAGGACATAGTCTTAAATTAGAGTGGCAAAGGTTTAAAAATAATATCAGGAAGTATTACTTTACTGAGAGGGTAGTGGATGAATGGAATAGCCTTCCAGCTGAAGTGGTAGAGGTTAACACAGTAAAGGAGTTTAAGCATGCGTGGGATAGGCATAAGGCTATCCTAACTATAAGATAAGGCTAGGGACTAATGAAAGTATTTAGAAAATTGGGCAGACTAGATGGGCCGAATGGTTCTTATCTGCCGTCACATTCTATGTTTCTATGTTTCTCACAATGAGATTAAATATCAAGTCTTGAGTGAGTTCATGTGTAAAATCTCAATGAAATGAAAACAAAAAGTATGTTGTCTAATAGTCCACAGGAATGTCGTGGAGCCCTATTGCAAAAGCAATATAATTCACTGAAGGTCAGTGAATACATAAAAAACAAAAAAATGAAGAACACACTGGTAGTACAAAGCAGTACAGTATCCAGGATCACTGCTCACTACAAGGCAAAATATAAACTAAAATAAAAAGTAGAGAGAAAATGAGAAATAGAGGGAAAAATACTTCTTTAAAAATCAATTAGTCTTTAATAAAGAAGGGCAAATTCAAACACGTTGAATGGTAAAATCAAATAGAATAAAATTGATAGAATAATAGCAACAGTGGTTCAATGTGGTATGTACAGATGCCGCATCAATAATTCTCCTGGTGGATGTAGTCTCCTGGGAGCTGCAGTCCTCACTGTGTGGTATCAGCCGATCAGGTCGGCATGCGTTTCAACCAGCGTTCCACCCGAAGCCCCACTCCCAATTGTGATTCCACCGATCTCGGAAAGAGCTGATCCTCAGTAGCTGTTAGTGCGAGGACCTCGATCAACTCGCGTGCGTAGAGTGCTGCTGTGGTAACTTCCAACAACAAAAGTGGTGAATGCAAGTTCTCAATAGAGTTTTGTTTGTGTCCATAGCCTTACGCGTTTCGTGAGGGAAAGCCTCACTTCATCAGAGAATTCAATAATAGGTTATATTGGACCCAGTGATAATAGTTAAAGTGAAGCATTAATAAACGTGGTGATACAATAGATACAATAATGTCCAGTGATACATGAAAGTGTAAATTAGCCAAATCATAAGATAAGCAATCTTGTAGATTGCAAGGAAGTCATGTACATAGTCTCTTCTTGTCATGACCATCTTTTTTTCCCCTCCCCCCCATTCTAAGAAGACCCCACCAAGTAATGCAATCTAGATTAATGTAAGAGCTATAGTTTGTTACCTGCTTTCACCATGCTGTTTGCATGAGCTTGGCCATGGTATTAGTTAATAGTTGTCAATATTTGATTGGTTATTAATGGTACTGCCCCCAGACTCCCCTTTATTGTGTGCAATTACAAAACCTTTGTAAAAATTACACCCTTGGATGTCTCTCAAGAGTGTCCCCAAGCACTTGAAGGGCATGGCACGGTCTGGATAGAACTGTAAGACCAAGGCAGGTAATTCTTGTGATTACCAAGGACAGGACAGATGTTCCAACAATACATGTGTAATATACACTGTTAAAGTTAAGCAGACCAACAAGAAGGCCTGTAGCAGCCAAAGTAATCCAATGTTTTCCTTTAAGAGCAGGGATTTACTGTTGCTTTAATTGCAGTGAGCTTTAAAGTGGTTCAGCGGTCAAAAATATTTATGTCTTAGTTGTCTAAATAATTTATAGCATGCAACATCATCCACTCTGGGTGGGGACAAAACTTATTGAGAACTTGTAGTTTATATGCTGAAGGGTTACATTCAGCCTATAAATAAATGTGGATAAACACCTGGAGGGGTTAAAAGGTTGATTTTGAACCCTTGTCATATCTCATTCTTTTTGTTTCTTGATTTCTTTCCCCTTTGGCATGGCTTGTGCTTGGAGGAGACCTCTCTAAGAAAGAGGATGCCGATGAAGTGGATAAGTGCTCTCTATAATTGTAGTATTAGCAGAAAGCAGTTAAGTAGCTTTATGTATATCTCTCTCCAAAGTGATTTTTGCCTATCAGCCATCTTTTCATTGACTGCGAGCTGCAATTATTGTTCTTTTTTTTTAATTGAATTCTTGTAGCCATTTGACTAGGTTACTATATTTAATAGGGTAAGAGGGTGAATTGTAATTTCTTGTGTAGGTAGCTCATTAATTCTAGCCATGCTCCGAACTCGTGATATGTCTCTACCTGTGACTCTCTGTCCTATCCAGACTGAATTTTCCCTCCGAGGTTCCACCAATCGTCCAGATGCTTGTCCAAGCTTAGTGTCATGCCTGCAGATCCCGTTTTACAGCAGCAGATTTCAATAAGAATAATTAATTGACCCTGAAGCCACAATAAAGACAGTGGAGACTTTCTACACTGATACATTTTTTTTATTCAGCCTGCTACATTTTTGGGGTTTTACTTTTTTTAATGTGGTTACTTTTCATGCCTTTGTATAGCGCCGTGTTCTCTCTTTGTGTTTTTTTTTTCTCTGTATCTCTGTTTTCCCTTCTGGTTTCTGTCTTTATCCGCTGTATCTCTTTCATCTTATTTCTCTGTCTTTCTCTCTCTTTCAGATTCTCAAACATGTTTCTTCCTCACTCTCTCTCTCTCTTCCTTTCTATCTGCCTCTCTCTCTCTCTCTGTTTCTTCCGTTGGGTTCTACATATGTGGTTTCCCAGATCTTTTTATCTGCTTTTCTCCCTCTATCTAATTGTCTCTTTTCTTTCTGGGTTTTTATAGCATGTACAGAGATCAAGCCCCACTTCTCTCTATCGTTCTAGTTCTCCGTCTGTCCATCTATCTCTCTCTTCCTCATTCTTCTTTATGTCCATCTCCTTCGCTTCCTCAGACTGTCCCATCTTTCTGATTCTTTCAGTATTACCCCTTTCTATCTTCTCTCTGACCCGACTCTGTTTTATCGCCCCCTTTTCCCTTTCTGCTATTTACATCTGGTTCTCTCCCTGTCTCTTTCCGCCTGTATCGTTCTCTCTTTCCGCCATCTTCATTTTTTCACTCGTTTAATGACTCCCCGTATTTTTCACTTGTTCTCAGGGTTACTCGAAGTGAGAACCAGTCAATAAATTTAAGGCCTGAGTAGCTGAACTTGGAACAGAGCTGACTTGTACATATTTTCCAGTCTAGATATTTTAGCCTCGAATTTTAAATGCACTTTGTATTTCAGACAGATCTCACGTTAGTAAATAACCCTGTATGTGTCTCATCTATTTTTATCTCCATTGCTCTCTGCTGATACAAGGAAACAGCAACTAGTTACAGTTACAGAGTGACACTGTGTTTAGGTGCTCTCGGTATCTGCTTGAATGATTCCAGGTATGGCCCTCCCTCTCCCTTCCCGGATCACACCCTGAGAGAGGCTCCACACGTCACTTCCTTAATCTTACACTTTACAGAGTAACTCTCAACAGAGACAGGCAGACAGACAGACAGACAGGGATTGATGAGAACACAGAGAGAGAGAGAGATAGAGAGAGTGACATTGACATAGAGCGCAAGAGAGAGACAGAAAAGAGTGATAGATATATAGGAAGAGAAGACTAAAGGGTAGATATAAAAAGAAAGATTGAGACAGAAAGAGACATAGAGAGGGAGAGGACAGAATTAAAAAACAGAAATACAGAGACAGTGGGAGGAGGAGAGTGATTGAAAGAGAGGGGGAGAGAGATTGAGAGGGAGAGAGGAGGAGAGAGGGGAAGATACATTAACATAGATGACATAGGAAGAGGAACTGAAGAGGGAAAACGAAAGACCCAGGACTGAAAGAGTGCAGCGCTGGAAGACAGTTTGAGACACACACTGTGAGGCTGTAGGACGAGATCATGTCTTTAAGGTAGAGCGGAGATGCCTTATCCAGTCAATGAGACTGTGAAATACTGGGAAACGACATCATGAGGGCTTTACAGATAATGGTAAGTGAGGGGTTCAACTGACTGAACCCACAAACCCTATCTACCTGTATAATAAATAATAAGAGCTACGCATTGAATATATATTGCAGGTGGTTTTATCCTTGTAACTGCTGTTCTTTGATATGCGGGAATCTAACATATTCAGTAGCGTTGTATAAAAAGAGAAAGCAGGATTAATTCCAACTAGCTGACAGACCAATACGTCAAGGCTTTCCACGCTACGGAGCTGTAGGTGTCGCTAAATTACTTTATTCACCAAACACCGAATTGTAGTAAATTGAAATTTAAATGGTAAAATAGAAGCTAAAATGGCTGCTTTGAAAACATTTCCCATCTCAGTTATGGTGACAGCTAGGCTAGTGAAGACTCAGCTTTGACATTTGGATTTTAATTTGTTACAATTCTGAGTTTATTAATATCCCTGTGGTAACATGTTAAAGCGATTCCCTGGAATGTCCAGCTTCATTTTCAAACTTCAGGCTGCCACAGAGTATCAGAGCTAATACTAGTGAATTGTTCTGTCGCTTTATTCCGCTGGCAGACTTCAGCTATGTTGCAATATGAATTTGGAAAGTTCCTGTAACAGGAAATTGCTGGTTGTGTGAGGAATAGTCAGCTTACATTGAAGGCTGGTACGGCTGATCTTGGCAGGCAGGGAATTCAGCAGACTCTCTGCATTTAGTTCAAAGAAAATACATTCAATGTACATGTGGTGTGCAAAAAAATAGATAAATAAAAGGGATCATATTGCATAACTTCTTTTGAGTTTTTTTTTTTTAAATAAAAAAAGGATTCTGATCCATAATAATGTTTCAAATGATATAGTATATCAGTAGAAAACAGCTTCCAAATGTCTGGGTGTGATGAAATTAAATCCCCTTTTTCAGGTTGTATAATGGGTCATAAATAGTCAGGGAGGTGGATAAGTTTGTTTAATGTGTTTATTATGCATTGTTTAATAGCTGTTAGGAATGCATACTTGCAAAGTATAGCCCCTAGACCCTAACAAGGAAAATAATACAGCAATGGAAACTAAATGACTGATTATTGCGGCTGCCCGACTTAACAAAATCCCCACAAAGAGGAAAAAATAACCTGTGAACTGGTAAAAGTGTTTTTTAAAATGAGCAAGTAAAAATATATTATACGTTCTGCTACAATGTATGGGACTGATTAATATATTCTGATATTAAATACGGCATAGGATATTGGCCTGGTGTCTGTATACGCAGTAATGATATTAAATATATATATAAAAAAGCAGAAAAATAAAAGCAGAATCACCTGCTAGGGTTCTTCATGATGAATCCAGTGGCTTGCTGTGGATGGATGGGTGGATAGATGGATGGGTGGGTGGATAGATGGTTGAATGGTAGGATGGATGGTTGGATGTTTGAATGCATGGATGGGTGGTTGGATGGAATAATGGATGGTTGAATGATTGGATGGATGGATGGATGGAATAATGGATGGTTGGTTGGTTGGTTGGTTGGATGGATGGATGGATGGATGGATAGATGGATGGTTGGTTGGTTGGTTGGATGGCTGGATGGTTGGTTGGTTGGTTGGAAGGAATGTTGGAAGGGTACATGAATGGATCATTGGATGGATGGCTGGTTGGATGGATGGATGGTTGGTTGGTTGGATGGCTGGATGGTTGGTTGGTTGGAAGGAATGTTGGAAGGGTACATGAATGGATCATTGGATGGATGGATGAATGGATGGTTAAATGTTAGGATGGATGAAATAATGCATTGTTGGATCGATTTATAAATGGATGGTTGGATGGATTCATGAATGGGTGGATAGTTGGATGGATGAATGGTTAGTAGGATGGATGGACAGTTGATAATGATTAGTATATGTTATGGTTAATTTGTAGGCCAACATGTCAATATATCAATAAAGTTGTAATGGTGCTTAAAGGCCCTTAATGCTGCCTTAGCTTAAGGGTTAAACTATTTACAAACATTTTAGCCCCATAGCTGTGCAGGTATGCATATTTCCCATGCTGTTTGTTTAATGAGAAGCTAGGTATAGACTGAGGGTGCCTGCTGAAGCTCTCAGCCTATTACTGGCACCCAGTCCAATGATTCTGCATTGAACCCTAAGACTTGTGAGGATGAAGAGGGACAGTTGCTCTCTACACAGCTTCGGGGTTATTACAATAGTTAACGGTTTAACCCTTTAAGGGGACAATGTTGTTATGGTGCCTGGAGTGTTCCTTAAACAGTTTTCGTTAAAGATACAAATTATGTGCATGGAATTAGCTTAATTACATAAGACTTTGATTAGAATGTTAACAAAATTACTAACTTCAACTGCAGTATAACTGATGATAAAAAAGCTACAAAAATTAAAGCAGTGCAACATATAGCTTATCAAAAATATAAATTAAGGTCATATTAACGACTGAACATACATCCTAGGAACTACCTTTATCTAGAGATCAAGTTCTTGGGGTAATGATGGCCATTGGGGCTTTGATGATGGCCTACATGCAAAGAAAAGCGATAGCTGTTCAGGAACAAGACAGTGACTAGTTTAACCAGGAAGGGAAAGGCCAGGACAGAAATAGATCAGAACAACAACTGAAACAATCATATAAAGGCACAGAGACAAGACAGCCATGAACAGGTGGAGACATTAGTTTATACATAAAAATAAAAAAATCTCGGGCACTCACTGTGATTGTATCCAGGCAGGTTTATTTGCAACGTTTCGACCTGTCAAGGTCTTTATCAAGCATGCAGCTCGACATATACACAGGCCAATTCATATATGGTCAGGAGAATGCTGGATTTAAGCGGGAAGGTTCATTGTGTATGCTTCTCACGCTTTATTATCTGTATATTGTAGGTTTTATTATGCTTCACACTGGTCGTAGCCTCCCAAAGTAAGGATATCCCTCTAGAAGCTGCTTTGCTATTGCGTGGAGAACCAATGGGATTCAGGGCACACGTCCGCAGTGAGAGATACGTGGAGGATGTCTTGTGTGCTGGGGACGAGTACAAACACCCCAGATCTCAGCACTGCTGCAAAAAATGTTTAAGTGGTGAGTGACCCAGTATTCCTGAATATTGTGTGATTCTTTTTTTTTTTTTTGAGATTATTTGCTTAGCAAGACAAAAGCATGACATCATAAACAAGTCTCCTAGCAGATTATAATGGTAATTCTAGAACAGGTAATTCTAGAACTGGGGGAATCTCCCCAAGTGTTGGATCCCAGAACCGTGGTACCATGTTGGTCACAAGTCAAAATAGCAGAGGAGAGCATTATGTAATTTAATATACAGGGCCAAGCAAACCATATCTCTGTATCGTATTCCAGGAGAGATGATAGAAACATAGAAATAAATGAATGAAATTCTTCGAGCTGGCCTTCGATTGTATCCCAATATCCACTGATCTCAGCCTTGAAAACACTCTAAATTTATGTTTGCTTCATACCTATTTCAAAAACACTTTATATTAATAATAGTAAACTTTTTTTAATGGGCTTAGTTTTTTTATTTTGAACACATCTTATTTATGTTTTGCTTTTTCAATTTCAATAACTGTAATTTCATAACCATTTTCCACATATCTAACTATCTGTCTTGCTTCTTACCATTAATACAACCAGCAATCTATAATCTCTTCTGGATTCTGGATAGTGTCAGTATACCTTCAAATCTATTATAACCCATAGACCTGTATTAATTTAATGAGGAGCATCAGAAAACAATTTAAGAACTGTTTGTAGGTTAATTATCGATAGCCTAGCATTTATTATTCTCTCACTATTACCTGGAATACCTGATTATCAAATCTTTAGAATTGATTGAGGGTTTTTTCCCCAGTTTTATTTACCCTCCAACCTCTTATTCACCACCAGCTTGTAAAATATGTGTTGTAATTGCTCTGATATGCAAACCTTTGTGCTATTATTTGTTATATTTTCATATACATCTCTTCCAAATAAACGTATAGTTACTTTTGTTTCTGACGTCTTAGTAGGGAAAATTAAAGTTTGTAACCCTGCTTGTTTTACAAACTCCTACATGTCAAAAATCTAAAAGCTATTACAAATCCGATATAAAGGGTGAAGGAACTTGTACATTAAATTTATATGGAAATATTTCTAGATTTGCTGTTGATTCAAAAGAAAGCAAAAACTCCAGTTTAAAGTGATTTCTGGATGTGGTTTCTCAATTGGAATAAAAATCCACTTTGACTCCAAAATGACAATCCATTTTATCCTCGGACTAACAAGCTGTTCCCACACATGTTACTGATAAATTGTTTGAATATTCTGTGATTTCAAAAAACATACAGCTCGTTGTAGGAGGCAGACAATTCTATTTTTGTTTTTTCTGTAAATAAAGATGGACTTTAGTCTTTTTTTCTTTCAGCTTGGACAACTATGAAACTATGTAACCCCAAATCTCCTATCTTCCAGTTTTAAAGGATGGTCTATTGTACTTTGGACAGTTATTTAAAAAACAAACAAAAAAAAAAACAGGTCACAGGAAATCTGTTTGTACTGGCCTTGTATACATCTATATAATAATATTTTAAACCGACTAAGATGTATCTTCTAAATTAAACAAACTCAGGTTTTCAAGCCCTTTCTCATATCTAAGTAGAGCAGTGACATGGGCTAGTGTTGGATGAAGCTCCAGGATCTGTAGAAGGAAGAGGGGATCATATGTCCCTTCAACTTCATTCTTGGACCATTCTACAACAAGTGGGGCTTTCAACTTCAAAATATGCATAGAACACGAAAGATGTTGCAATAATGGGAGGTTAAAAACTGTTAATAAGTTAACATCTGATTGAAAATGTAACCATTTTGTTTTCACGCAGGCTGCCAGGCTTCCAATAAGGGAGGTGTGGCTAGGGATGCATGAACAGAAACAAATGTGATTTAACTCCTAAATGACATTAAATTTAGCAGTGAAACTTCTGAGGCATGAACTCTATACAAAAACTGCTTCATTGAGCTAAAGTTGATTTGGTGATTATAGTGTCTCTTTAAGGTGAATGTTGCTAAGGAATTCCTTACCCCATTATGGATACCTGCATTTATTTACATTTATTTGCATTTTGTATCATATGAATCTTGCCTCAGTCTACCCAATCTCCTAGTTTATGCAAATGCCTCTGTAGAGAAGTAATATTTTAAGTTACAACATACAATAACTTTTTCAAGCAGAGAAATACTCCATTAACTAAGTTTCATGCACCCTACTTCTAAGTCGCAATCAGTCCAAGAACAAACGGTTTATTTTATCTAAAAAAGGTTTGATGTGTAGGATAACCTTTTGTATGGAATTGTAGTCTCTCCACTGCCACACCCTGTACTTTTTTCTTCTAACTTCCTCATAGAATGCAATTAACTTATATAGGCATGATCTCTCTTGCATACCGCAATTGTTCACAGCGATTTCCTTAATACCACAGATGCCAAAATCGTTCATTTCTGGGCTGTGATTTTATTTCTTTTTCAAGGTGACAGAAAAGGATCCTGGCAGATTAAAACAAGTGATTTTGATATACACTAAGCTCCCTATGTATCCTGGGAGAATCAGGGGCGTTTTAGCCGCGAGGCAAACAAGGCATTTTCCTTGGGCGGCATTTTCCAGGGGGCGGCAAAAAAAGCCACCCCCAAATGCCCAGGGCAAATGTCTTGTTAGCCTTGCAGCTAACTGACAATCCAGGCGGGCGGGCTGCGCCGGCGAGGGTGCATTTTCCCCTGAGCTGTCTGCTTAGCTCCCGTGCGCTGCAGAGTGATGCTGGGAGACAGAATATGACTAAGGCAGCACAAAACCAGGATACACCACTGGGGAGAATACCATCTGGCACTGGGGCCATTGAATTACATTACATTAAATGTATTTAATTATTGTTGCACTTTATCCTGCATCATCCAATCACATTTTTCTTTGAGGTTTCTGCACAGCGTTCTCCTTATTTACAACCATATATTCTTAAAAAGCCTTTTGTAACTATCAGCAAACACAACTATTTATTTGATACTGAAATACTTACTATTGGTTCTTTAATTTGAAATATTTGATTTTTTTCAAGTTTTTCTTTCTTTTGTTTTGTTTCTGTCTAGTTTCTTTTTTAAAAACTTTTGATTATGCCATCGACCTTGTAATTTACAAATCTATGTTGGCTGCTAACTTATTTTACCAGCCCAAAATAAGTACATGTATTGTAACACTAGTTTAACAAACAACAAAACAGCAGAGCTTTAAAAAAAAAAAAACAACAGCATAGAAACATAGAATGTGACGGCAGATAAGAACCATTCGGCCCATCTAGTCTGCCCAATTTTCTAAATACTTTCATTAGTCCCTAGCCTTATCTTATAGTTAGGATAGCCTTATGCCTATCCCACGCATGCTTAAACTCCTTTACTGTGTTAACCTCTACCACTTCAGCTGGAAGGCTATTCCATGCATCCACTACCCTCTCAGTAAAGTAATTCTTCCTGATATTATTTTTAAACCTTTGCCCCTCTAATTTCAGACTTTGTTCTCTTGTTGTGGTAGTTTTTCTTCTTTTAAATATAGTCTCCTCCTTTACTGTGTTGATTCCCTTTATATATTTAAATGTTTCTATCATATCCCCCCTGACTCATCTTTCCTCCAAGCTATACATGTTAAGATCCTTTAACCTTTCCTTGTAAGTTTTATCCCGCAATCCATGAACCAGTTTAGTAGCCCTTCTCCGAACCCTCTCTAAGGTATCAATATCCTTCTGAAGATACCGTCTCCAGTACTGCGTACAATACTCAAAGTGAGGTCTCACCAGTGTTCTGTACAATGGCATGAGCACTTCCCTCATTCTACTGCTAATACCTCTCCCTATACAACCAAGCATTCTGCTAGCATTTCCTGCTGCTCTATTACATTGTCTGCCTACCTTTAAGTCATCTAAAATAATCACCCCTAAATCCATTTCCTCAGATGTTGAGGTTAGGACTCTATCAAATATTCTGTACCCTGTATTCTATAATTCTAAATCATTTGCCATCTGGCGGATCCCTCCTGGAACATCAACCCTGTTACATATCTTAGTATCATCAGCAAAAAGACATACCTTACCATCAAGACCTTCTGCAATATCACTAATAAAAAACATTAAAGAGAATGGGTCCAAGTACAGGTCCCTGAGGTACCCCACTGGTGACAAGTCCAAGCTTCGAATATATTCCATTAACTACAACCCTCTGTTACCTGTCACTCAGCCACTGCTTTACAAAGCCACAATGCTTTGAATTTCTTTGTTTTGTATTTCTCTCTTTGACTGTGTACTAAAAAATTTACTTTTTTTATGCTCAATGCTCTTTATTTCTTCCGAAAAAGAGTTTCTACTGGAATTGTCATTTTTAGAATTAAATGTTTTGGTGAACCCTTATTTGGATTTTTTTTTCTATTTGATCTGAACTGGCAATATATTATGGTCACTCTTTCTTAAAGAGTCACTTCTGGCACCACAACTACTTTATCAGCCGGCTTCCCTTTAGGAGTTAAACCATTGACAAAACAGCTTAAACCTAAAGGCTTCCATCCGGTGCTGGTCAGCATTGCTCAAAAACTTTTGTTGCAGTTAGTGACACTGTTTGAAGCCTTGCACTGTAACAGAAGTTGGGGGCATTGGACTGAAGACTTTGGGGTGAAACCATTAATTAACAGGTTAACCCCTGAAGTTAAGCTCCGATAATGTTCCAAAATATTTTTCCACTAGATAACTTTCTAGACTGGTTAATTAAATTATCTGGTTACAGTCTTATCTAGATAGCAGCTTTTTCATTTCATGACCTGCTCTTCCTTCTTAGTTTTCATGTTTATGAGGTTTAATTTCTACAAATACTGTATTTCCCCTTTTAAGCAAATTTCTATACACAATCATCAAAACTTTTTTTTTTTTCAAGGCTTTGATTCAGGTTCGACATATTAATATATATCTCTCTTTTACATATTTATCTTCCTAAACTCTGTATATCCATTTAAATGAACTGCCCAGTCAGTGATCCATGCCGTTATAGTATATCCATGCCGTTATAGCAGCCTTTGCAAGCCCTCCCCTTCTAACCCCGCCCAGACTTTCTGTGGCTGTCCAATCACAGACTTCCCAATGCAGCTCAATGAGAAGGCTTTGCCAGGTAGGTGTTTTGGGCAATTGTATGGAAATTTACAGGAAAGAAGCTTATTTTTATAGTGCCAATGAATTCTGCAGTGCTTTACAATCACAGAAGACAAGAGATAAAAACAGCCTTTGCTCAAAAGGGCTTACAAAAATAGCATTCCTTCTTCCATTGTGCAAAGTCAGCCCTGTGGTCAAAAATCCCCTAATCCTCCCTCCTAGTACACAACTTTGGCTACGCATTAGTCATTTATTATCCCCCATGTGTTTTGTTAATAACCTTCCCATCTGACGCTGCAGCAAGAAGTAGAAGAGTAGAAGAGTTCCCACTCTGGAGCACAGTTTCCTGTCTTTGTTTTATGCAGTCTCCTTCTCCCCTCGTGACTTCCTTTCTCGCCTGCCTTGGCAGAAATTCACATTTCTTCTTTTTAAAACCAGCCCACAGTTAAGAAATAATGTGGCACGTGCGTTTCCTGAGGGTTCCGGAGTTAACAACAGCGTTTCCTGAAGCCATTGATCTTTGCTGGAGATAGTAGTGGGGTCAGCAATATTTCTTAGTACCCGGGCTTGATTTTCTTCATCTGGACCAAGTACTAAGGAAGGCATGATATATTTGGCAGTGGTTTTTTTCTCATTGGTTTTATTGTCCTTTTTTTTGGAACTATGTTGAGGGAAAAAAGTATTTGATCCCGTGCTGATTTTGAACGTTTGCTCACTGACAAAGAAATGATTAGTCTATAATTTTAATGGTAGATGTATTTTAATGTGAGAGACAGAATAACATAAAAAAAAATCCAGAAAAACCCATGTCAAAAAGTTATAAATCATAAGTATCAATCAGCAAGATTTCTCTTAAAGGGAGTGCTCCTAATCACAGCTCGTTCCCTTTATATAAGACACCTGCCCACAGAAGCAATCAATCAGATTCCAAACTCTCCACCATGGCATAGACCAAAGAGCTGTCCAAGGATGTCAAGGAGAAGATTGTAGACCTTCTCAAGGCTGGAGTGGGCTACAAGACCATCACCAAGCAGCTTGTGTGAAGGTGACAACAGTTGGTGCAATTATTCACAAATGGAAGTAACACAAAATAACTGTCAGTCTCCCTCAGTCTGGTGCTCCATGCAAGATCTCACCTCATGGAGTTTCAATGATCATGAGTACTGTGAGGAATCAGACGGGTGGCTCTTGTTAATGATCTCAAGGCAGCTGGGACCATAGTCACCAAGAAAACAATTGGTAATACACTTGAAAATGGGTCATGGATGGGTAATCCAGCATGGCAATGACCCAAAACACACAAACAAGGCAACAAAGGAGTGGCTCAAGAAGAAGCACATTAAGGTCCTGGAGTGGGCTAGCCAGTCTCCAGAGTGTAAACCCATAGAAAATCAGTGGAGGGATCTGAAGGTTCGAGTTGCCAAACGTCAGCCTCGAAACTTTAATTGGAGAGGATCTGCAAATAGGAGTGGGGCAAAATTCCTACTGAGATGTGTGCCAACCTGGTGGCCAATTACAAGAAATGTCTGACCTCTGTGATTGCCAATGAGGGTTTTGCCACCAAGTACTAAGTCGAAGGGGTCAAATACTTATTTCACTCATTGACATGCAAATCAATTCCTAACTTTTTTGACATGTGCTTTTCTGGATTTTTATTTTTTTTGTTATTCTGTCTCTCACTGTTAAAATACATCTACCATTAAAATTATAGACTTAAAATTTCTTTGTCAGTGGGCAAACGTTAAAAATACAGAAGTGCATTTTGTATTGTAATTTAAACAAATTCAGTATGGTACATAAAGGTTTGATGCCAAAAGTTTACATCTGATACTCCCCCAGCCTGGAGATATATTCATCCTCCTCCCCCACACCCAACATAAAGTGTAGTCAGGGGGATGCCTATATATATAAAGAGGTGCTACCCCAGAATATCACCGTTTTTTGGCTTTTATTAAATCTCTTTTGATATAGATTAACAGATAGAAATTAAAGGCAACATACTAATAATGCTAATGAGAACTGTATGTAAGGTAACACAGAAAAGACTATTCACTAAAGTGAAAATTCAAAGTGAATTAAATTTTTAAGGTGAAAGTAGCTGAAATAGAAGATTAGCTAATTTAGAGAATGCTTCCGGTTCGATTATTTTTACCTTGAATTTGAAATTCACTTTCAGATCTCACATTAGTAAATAACCTTGTTGGACTGCTTTTAGAACATATCAGCATACAGTATGTTTCACAACATGCATTGCGTGACTTGACATTTTCACTCAAGTTTTGCTAGTGATTGAGTTTCTGGTAAGTGGGTGTTATTACACGAGAACCAGCTTCTCCAGCTGACTAGTGACGCATTGTGTTCTGTACTTTTGGTAAGGTCTCTTGTTCCTAACTCTTGTTTATTCATAAACCAGCGTACTCTCACGAATTCTGTTATTATGCTGTGCTCTGTGTGGAAGCTGGCTTGTTTGCTTTTTTTTTTAAATTAATTTGGGATTTTCATTTGCCTGTTTGCCATAATGGTGAACGTCATAGATGTGTGCAGTTTATTGCGTTCGGATAAGCACCCAAAGAAACTGACTTTGCACTTGTGAAAAATCCCTTGCATTCAAAGCAGAGTTGATACAATGATATAGAAAAAAAATATGTCTTCTTTATTGCTACAAAAATATACATCCCAAAAAAAAATGCAAATACGACTGTTTCTCAAAAGCCCTTCACATGTGAAACTCATTCAGTTCGTACGGGCATATGCCTTGGGTTAGTAACAGTGGAATTATACTTAATTGTCTAATTTTAATTATTATTTTTTTTATTAACGATAAAGAAGATATATATTTTCTATATCTTTGTAACAAGTGCATGGAACTTTTCTTGTGTGCAAATTCAATTTGAAAAGAACCCTCCAAATGCACAGTGCAGGGTTTCCGCAGGAACATAAGTACAAATTGCATGACTATATGGAATGTAACTTTGCAAGACATATATTAGGATAAATTCTTGGAGTAGAAATTATTAGTTTGCTGTGTACACAAAGAGGAAAATTACCTTCTTCACTTAAAAAAATAATTTAGAAAAATGCACTGCATTCCCTACTGGATACAAAACACAGTTGTGAAGAGGATACATAGCATTAAATGAGGGTGCCCCCCGAATTGAGGAGCCCCCACCAGGCCAGTAGAAGTATTAGACTAAAATACAAGCAGGTACCTTTTTGCTGAAATGTTATTTTATTACAGAATAGTCTACTGATAAAATGAAAATCTATATATTGGGAAACATTATAACCATTTTACTCTGTTCTTTTTTGCAATTCTGTTTTTGGTGCAAAACAATTTGCTGCTTAGTAAATAACTCTAGTATAGTTTTTGCATTCTGACCATTTGTATTCTGTTAGAATTTACATTGTTACTCTGTGACTGTATTATTGCTTAATATTGAGAATTAAATCATTGCTGATCTAGGTAAAGTGCTCTGGATAGTGAAGCTATATAACAAACAAATAGAAAAAAACAGAATTCCTCCCTTTCCTTTTTTCTTGCCATTTACCCACCCGCTTCCAGTTTGCCAGTTTCAGCTCCCTTGATATCCCTTGGCCGAGGTCATGGCTTTTTGCCAACAAAGGAGCCATGGCTGATGGACTCCTAAGGACCCCACTGTCTGGACCAAGACATACATTATGTTCCTTACTTATTCTCACCATGTGTAATATATATATCTAACAATGTCTGCCTCATGTTCATTACCCCACATTGTGACTTTTTGTTATCTTATTGTTTATGTTCATTCTGAAAAGTTCTAAGTAAAGAATTTTGAAAGAATTGACCAGATTCCAAATTTCAAAATGTCTTACCCAATCACTAAAGTAAGCTTATAGAAAACACAGCTTTTAATGGACACTATAATGTTAGGGACATATATATGCAAACAAGCTTTGCTAACGTGTTCTAGATTCAGAGCTCTGTTAAAAAAAAAAAAGTGCAGAGACTCACGTCGTACTGCCACCCATTCCTGGAGGCCTCACTCAGTAGCTTCTAACTCAATTAGGCATTGGGGATGAGATGCACATGAGCACATCAAATGCATGTAGCCAGTGATTCCCTATGAACTGCATTTGATGACTGATGAGTGAAACTAGGTTTTTGCAGAGGAAGCGCCTCTCTTGTCAGGGAGACAGCCACTAGAGGTGGATTTAACCCAGCAATTTAAACATTGCGGTTTCTATAAAACTGCAATGTTACACATAGCAACGCTAAAATTACAGGGCCACTGCGCCACAACCACATCACTGAGATGATATTGTCTGAGTGACTTTTTTTTTTTTTTTTTTTAAAGACTAGATGCCTATCAAGCATTGCTTATTATGCAGGTTGTACAATTCTATATAATTCACTTTGCAACATTGGAGATGGCACTACCCATGGCAGTAACATGGCTCCTTTACAATTCACACAGCAGATTAATTGGGCTCTTTCTCTGAAATATTCTGGGTACACAAAGGGGATTTTGTCACCAAAATAAAGTTACTTTAAGATCCAATCAAGTTTTTAGTCCAGACTATATTGAATTACTACTTAATGAAACACTCCAAGCACCATAACGAATAGTCTAAAATGGTTTGACTTCTTATAATGGGGGTTCCAGGACACTCCTGACATCATGGTGCTTGGGGTATTCCCTTAAAAATTTGGATATGACTTTTAACAGATATTGCCCTCAATAAGTTATTCACCCACGTTCTTTCATGAGTGTAGTTTGATAAAAAAATATCTTTGATAATCTTAGATCGTTACGATGCTGCAGTAGAAGCCACGGACAGTTATAGAGGTCCTGTTCTTAATGGATTAATTTACTAAACTGTAATTAGAGGATAACTCACAAGAGGATTGAAGATTTTATAAAAAGAATAGGTGAGATCGGAAATGTTTCCAATTTGACTGTTTTGGCTTAAACTTTGCACTCTTTTCAAAACGTGTTCATAATTCCCAGGAAATAAATGTTGTTAAATATTTCATTGCTCTTTGTGTCAGTGTTGTGGTTGGTTCTTTGTTATGTACTAATCCTGGTATTACTTATAAATTCCAGCCGTCCACTCTGATTATTTATCCTGCTAATTAAAAGTATGGTAGTTTTTCATCTTCTACCTATTTACAGTAAGTTACACCACAAATCCTACTAATTAAAGTGGACTTTTCATGTCATAATGGTTTATAGAACGCTACATGGCCAATCTAACAGACGGGTTTCTGGTAAGGAGGATAAAGAAAATCTGTAGTTATAATTCCCTTTCACTGGGCACTTTTTACATTGTAAGCTCATTTGGGAAGTGCCCACTTTACCTGCTGATCCAGTATGTCAATAATTTTTTGCAAGAATTTCATGTTTGTCTTGTCTACCTATAATCCAACACTGCGGAATATATTGACGCTATATAAATTATTGTAATTATTGGCATTCAAACCCAGTCCTTGTAGTGAATCACTGACGTGTTATTTTAAAACTGTTTTACAGGATTCCGAAAGGTCTCTGATTGTCCTGAAAAGGAGAAAGTCACAGAATGTGCACCGTGCGCCGAAGGGCAATTTACAGACAACCCCAATTATGCCAAGAAGTGCAAACAATGCTCTCAGTGTGTGCTGTGTAAGTGTCCAATCTGCAAGCCAGGAGGTGCAAACTAGGTTCTTATCGCACTGACACTCATATTGCAGTGCCAGTTTATACCAAACAGTGCAGAAAGAGCTCTCAGTGTATAACAATGGACGTGTCCACGCATATTGTGAATGACTGAAGCCAGGCAGTGTAGACAATGTTTTTAGTGTATGCAATGCATGTGTCCACTGATACTCATATTGTAAATTACTGTAAGCAACCTATGTCAGTCCACTCATGCTCACACTGATCATGACTGCAGTAGTTTTATTATATGAAATATTAATGATTGTGTATTAATGGGACCTCTAGCCTCCCAAGCGTCCTGATTTTTGGGTATTGTTCCCTGCTGTCCCGCTTTTGGGTACAGTTATTAGAACTGTCTCAAATAAACATGGTATAACGCATCTTTAGACATGCTTGCGCTATGCTCAGGGCAATAGGACCGGGCAGAGAGCATTGGAATAATGCTCCTTGCAAGTCCTGAACTTCAGTGGACCAGCTTTCATGGTGAACAGGCAGCCAGGTATGCATTCACTCCAGGCTGACCTGCCGAACCTTTGGCCGGAACCCATTTCTTTGGGCAGTGACACAATCGCTTTACTGACTCCTCTCCCCCATCCTCCTAAGTGGAAGGTAAGAGGTAAATAATACAGAGGACCAAATTTACTATTTTTCAAATGAAATTCAACTCGTTTCTTGATATGTGCCCTTTGGTAACATTTTTGTACATCTCTCTTTCAGCATACGGCCAAATATTGATATCCAACTGTACTCGGAATAGGAATACGGAGTGCGGTTGCCCACACGGCCAGTACCAGGTCAAAGTCGCAGACAATTTCATATGTCAAAACTGCAGCCAATGTGACAATGGAAAAGAAACTATCCCATGTAAGAAAACTCTGTTTAAATTTCATGTAATCGGGCAACATAGCCTCTTATCAATGGGTGTATTTCTCTGGCCAATAGCTGCCAGGTTCCATATGTTTACAGTAGAGTTATTACAATTGTATATTTATAAGTAGACACATGCAGTTTAAATATACACTATTAACCATAAACACAGTCCAATGACTCAGTCCTTTGTTTCTTTACAATCCATTTCCATAAAAGCAGATCCTCCATCCCTGGGTAAGGGGTGTCATGTAGTAGTAATCTATTTGGACGCATTCATGGGGTATAAATACAGCATTGATCTTATCCTTCTGATTTTGTTACTGAATGGAGTATTTTCTTTAGACAATTAATACTGATGACCTCTGGAATGAGAAAAAAATCAGCATTATTATCTGTTGTATTAGTGGGCTCTGGCCACCCCTGCTAAAAATACATCTTTGTCTATTGCAGGCCGCGGATATAGTGATACTGTATGCGCTTGCAAATTTGGCTTCTATTTTGACCACTCGGAGAACAAATGCCAGCCGTGCAACATGTGAGTATAGACGTGTCTCGTCCACCATGAGGTTGGGGGGAATAATAAACTCTAATTGTTCCAGTGTGTCTAATATCTGAAAATACCTGAGATAACAGTCAGCATCTATTGCCAAAATTACATTGAATTCAAGAAACTGCAACATAAACTGTTACCTGCAGTGGAACGGCGAGGGTCGGAATTGTTACAATACAATACGTTTCTGATGCTGTAAATAAAGCAGAGAGAAAGTCACAGATCATAATAATCAACAATCAATCAACAATTCAACAATTCTGCAATATAATGTCTGATTATATATTTTTTCCATGTGTGCATGTGTTGGATGTGTGTGCGTGTGTTCCTGTTTAAAAAGGAACTATCCCTTTCTGAAAATGGCAGTTCCTCTTTCCCACACCCCAATTAATGTTATGTAGCTATGCAATGAAGTGAAAGTCAGTGTAAAGCATACTTAAAAAAAATAAAAAATGTAAATAAAAATAAAAAAAGCCCTGGATAAATTTTAGTTGACTATGGGTAATGCAAAAACCCTATACATGACAGTTCCCCTTTAAAGATGAAATTGCCCTCTATCTAACTGGCTTGTCTCTTATCAGCTTGTCTCTAATTGGCGTGTCTCCGATGTACCAGTATAGCCGCCTATAGGTGGTGACGGGCAATACTCCATTATACGGCACACACGGTGACACTACAGGGCCCGCTAGTGCTATGCAGTCAGGTTGGGAAGATAAATGTATCTCTCCTAGCCGGTCCATTTCACATTTGAGGTGGATTGGGCCCCTTCAAGGTTGTATTGACAACCTCCATTACTCTCTTGCAGGACAGTTCTGGGAGGAAGTGATGTCAGATCTCTATTTTATATATGTGTATGGCAGTGTGTGTGTGTGTTTAGGGTATGTATGTGTGTTGCATTGTGTATCATGGCATCGTAGCAGTTTTTATATGCTTGTGTATTCGTGTGTATATATATGTGTGTGTGTATGTATGTGTATTTTTCAGTATGTATATTTGTTAGCAGTATGTACATGCTTGTGCAAGTGTGTGTGTGTGTATGTATGGCATTGTGTATATTTTTGTATCTGTGAGTGGCTGTGTGCTCCTGTGTATGTATGTTATGGGTGTGTGTGTATATCTATGATGGGTTTGTGCAAGTACATTTGTGTTTGCTAATTGGAGAGGCCCAGCCAATAATTTTGCAAGAACTCAAGACTTGTGTACAGCGATGACATGTTTTTTGGCTGAACAACTTCATCCAAAAAACACCTAATTTGAGACAGTCGATTTGTTATTGTGTGTTTTGTTTGGTTTGGGAATTTGGACAAGCAACTAATCAGCACAAATTTTGACAAATTGCAGCTCAGAATAAAACAAATCCCCAAATCTATTAAAGAGGTATATTTCAATGCTGTTGTGCAAAATTATTATTATTTATTTGTTGGGATAATAATTCTGATAACAAGAAATAATCAGTCATTTTTTTTTAAAGCATGATTTTTTTTTTTCCTTTTTTAATTTTGATTTTTTTCAGACACAGTTGTGGTTTCTTCTATCAGATTGTTTGAGATTCATTGACTGGGAAGGGTTTATACTCTGTCGCTGTTTTTTTTTTTTTTCTCACATGTGGTATTTCATTTTAGGTGTACAACTACAGATTGTCAAGATCACTGCCCTCCAACCGAAACTATCAAGAATCCTGATGAGAACAGTAAGTCCTTACCTGAGTCTTGTTATCTACAAGGTCTGCGGAATGCCATGTTAACATGGGCAGTTTACGAATTCTGCCAGGCTTTACGCCAAGGCATCAGAGTGCTCTTAGTGTGAGTTTATTTGGTAAATCACATCCGGGATCCAAAATTCTCTGTGTTTCCAATTTGAGATTAATTGAGAATTCACGTCCAGAATCACAAATGACCCTCTCTCTCATCAATACATTCTTCAGAACAAAAACAAAAGTGACAGTTTGATTATTAATGTATCTGTTCTGTCTAATAATCTCGGGAGAAATTAACCCTCAAATCGCCATAACGGCGTGCAGTCACTCATATAATTGCTATTAATTAATTAATCTAAATTCATGAAATTGGTGGTACTCTGTTACATTACACATACACAGGCAGCACGTATCTTTATTGTGGAGGTTATGAAATTCGGTCAGGAGAACACTCTATAGTTAAAACTAAATACAGACAGCTTTAACAGGGTTGTCTACAAAAGTGAGAATTCAAAGTGATTTCCAAATCAAAGACCTAAAGTAGCTCAAATGAAAGCACAGCAGAATGAGAGAATTTGTCCGGTTTGGCTATGTGGACCTTAAATTTGAAATCCACTTTGAATTCTCATTTTTAGTGAACCGAACTGTTATTTTTATGGATTCAGTCAGCATTTAACATTGACTGAAGCTTTTCAGAGGCCTTTTTGGGGGGGTTTGTTGTTGCTTGGTGTCCAAAAAATTTTTTTTTATTAATCCAGGCACAAGAAATATGATTTGGTAGAAAGAGATTCTGTATTCAAGGAAGTTATCCAAATACAGTTCCAGAACCTCAAATAATATTTTTTTTCTCTTCCCTGTAACCAATAATTTTGTTAGATAAAATGTAAAAAATTCTTTTAAAATGTTAAAAAATGTTGATAACATGCAATTGAACCATCAATTAATGTATTTTCAGAGAATATTACACTCTATGTGGTTTCTGGAGCAGCATGCATGCTGCTTATCGTCATTGTGTTGGGCGCCATTCACATGCACAAGAAACGCACTCAGTCCAGCCCATCACCCTGCGGTAAGGGGAGCCAGGAGGGGAAATATCTGTGTGATGCTGTGTTAGAGCTTTGTGTCTGGGATATGTGATGAAATATCATTGCTTATAGCTATAGTTATGTTAACGTCCCAAAGTGCATTGATGCTATTTTCACGGGTATTCGTATAAAATTGAAATTTTCGCAGATTATTTATTTTTATGGTTAATTACTAATAGTGAATTTGGATACCTTTAAAAAGAAAATCCCTCAAATAAACATAAATCAAATGGACATTCACTATTATGTAAAGTTTTTTTTTTAATGCATTTTTGTTTGTTGTTTTGTGTTTTTCTGTTTGTTTTCGTTTACTGAATCCTGGAGTTATATTAGTAATGAACTATTGGCTTGTTTTATTTAAAGGAGGACTTTCACTACTCAGGATCTTTGATGGTATGTTTACTTATTCCTGCTATTTAATAAAAACGTATTTGTGAGGAATGAAAAATAAAATTAAATATAGAAGTCCGCACTGCACGTATCTTGGAACTGGGTGCCTTCATCTTGGGTACCTGCTAATCTATGCCCTACTGACTGTGCCAGGATTTAACTGAATTGTGATATCTAATGCTGCATCTTAATACACATATAAAAGAAATCAGTGCATCACATGAAAAGGGGTTAACACAAGTTGTCGGTGATGTTCGATGTTTTATTCAATGGTAAAATTTCCAGGGAAGTGATAGTTCTCCTTTAAACTCTAAAATTTCATGGAACTTTTATCTGAAAATTATTTTAGAGCTTGTTTTTATCACAAGCAAAAAAAGAAAAATGCATACAATCAGTGACACTGATTAACTTGCTTGTATTGATGCACATACTCAGTGAAAAGAAATAAAAAAATTAAGTAATTTAATTAAACTCGAGGCAAGGAGATTTCACCTACAGTAGCAGAAACACTGTCAGGGCTATTTACTAAAGTGAAAATTCTACGGGAATTTCAAATTAAAGGCCAGAGTAGATAATCTGAAAGCATAGGTAATTTAACCCCTTAAGGACCAAACTTCTGGAATAAAAGGGAATCATGACGTGTCACACATGTCATGTGTCCTTAAGGGGTTAAAGACTGCTTTCCGTTTTGCTATCTTGACCTTAAAATTTAATATTACTTTGAATTCACCTTAAATTCTCCCCTTAGTGAATAACCCTGTTAATGACACTGAGATTAATAATGAAAGTGCTTTTACTGCATTGAGAAATTGTGCTATGTAATTGAACACATGAATTAGGGACACTAGCAGTGGTTTAGTTGTTGACCATTGCTAGTCAACCACAAAGATTTACCACAAGATGGTGGTTTTATCACTATAATCACATAAACACAATAGACTGTTAGATAAAAGTTGCTCTAAACTTCACCTGCAGCCATTTACCATTTAGTTCCCATAGTCTGCTGGTAATTTTTTTTATATACACTGACCAGCCCCAACATTAAAACCACCAGCCTAACATCGTGTAGGTCACCTTTGTAATGCCAAAACAGCCCTGATGTTTTGAGGCATGGACACCACAAGATCGCTGAACGTTTCCTGTGGTATCTGGCAACAAGACAGCAGCAGATCCTTTAAGTCCTGCAAGTTGCCAGGTGGGGCCTCCATGGATTTGTTGTTCCAGCACATACCACAGATGCTCAATCGGATTGAGATCTGGAAAATTTGGTGGTCAAGGCAACAACCTTGAACTTTTTGTCATGTTTAATCATGTTGTGGTTGATCATTATATAGCTGCTGTCCACATGGTGTCAACACTGTGTGACATCATTAGAAGCTAGCCACTCCAACATAAAGGGACACTTCACTGCACAAATACAAAACAAAATATATATATAAAAAAAAACACTATTGAATTAATATACCCCACATTTTTTTTTAAATGCATGCATTTAAGTATGCATTTTTTCATTGTGGGTATCTCTACAAATATAGGTTTTCCCCTGCCCAAACTTTATGTGACTGTATAATCAGTCTTCCAATTGCAGCTCTTGAGAAGTCTTAGCAAGGCAGATACTCTGGACAATTGCTCCTTTTGAGTTTAGCTCCACTAAGCTAAACAAACCAGGAAGTAAGAGGACCGGTTGTCTGATTGATAGCTATGAGGGGTGTAACAAGGTTAATTTATAAAAGATTACATTTCTAGTGTGTTAGGGGTGTTCCTTTAACCCAATCGACCTATCTACCTTCATTGGGTGATATCCCTTATTACAGAAAATCCATGAGTGATTTATGCACTTCTGCATGCATACAGAATAGCTGTTCTGCCTGTATGAAGCAATCAAGTTGCATACAGTGTTTGCATTAAGTAAAACTGAAGGCACAAGTTCCTGTACCTGCTGGCATGGTAATTCTTTTAGACCACCTCAAAAATAGACAAACACAAAAATAATTTTAAAATAAATTTTATGGGGTCCTTGGGACACTTGGGTAACCTAAAAAGTATGCAGGTATCCCCTAATATAAAGGAGTACCAAAGAAATTAGGTAATTTGAGGAACCCTGTCAATTGGAGGGGTGGGTAATCAATTAAATGGATCCCTAACCTCCACGTGTATTAATAAACTAAGGATTTAGCAAGAAAAATAAAATATAATACGATTAATGCAAACATAAAAATTTAACAAAAATGTAATGGTTTCAAATATGAATATGGACGTAATTAATTTATGCAATAAATTCATATTTTACAGATTTGAAACCCCAGAAAAGCAGCATTGTGAGTAATATCACTCCTCCAACTGTGATGTACCTAACCTACGACTTGCACTTAATTAGAAAAGTCTAATTATTTATATCTACAATGGCAGCACCTTATACCCTAACCTACACCTTATCAGACCTCACTTCATATATGACTGTGTCCTGTACCCTAACCTGTACCTTATGAGACCTTACTTCATCTCTGACAGTGCCTTATACCCTAATCTGTATCATAAGACCTCCGACACTACCCTAACTCATACCCAGTTATCTTATGAAAACAATCCTAACTCATACTCTCTTTCCATATTGTTCTAAACATCCCAAAATAATACCCGATTGGTGACTTTCTTATTGACCAGAGATAGATCGACGGACGCATGGACAAAGAGACGGAAACATAGATACAATGGGTAGATGGATAGATAGATTTTGTTTTATAATGTTATGGTATCATATAATTTACTGAACCATTAAATTATTTTCTTAATAGACTGGTATGACTACTACAACGGAAACCTCGGTTCACTCTATCACACAGGCACATGGAGAATATGGGTTGTCAACTGTGCTGAACAGTCAGATTCTGGATCCTCAAGTGACAATTCCGTTACTCGAGTTGCCGGACATCACATTATCAGCACGGGTTCAGCAGATCCAAAGTGAGTGCAAATGTTTGGTCTAGCGTTGAAGAAACATTAACAAATAAGGAAACAAAGACAACTCTTAAAGGGATTATCCAAGTACCATAACCACTACAGCTTATTGTATAGGGTTAAGGTGTTCAGAAGCTGTCCATCTTTCAAATCCTTCTTCCTTTCTTTATTTTACATTAAATGGTGTAGGGAGTTTGTAGGAGGTGTGGGGAGCTGCAGTGAGCATGCTGCTCCGGTAGTGTGGGTTATAGGAGGTGTGTGGAGCTGCAGTAACCATGCTGCTCAGTTAGTGTGTGTTGCCGCTCAGGTAGTGTGGGTTATAGGAGGTGTGGGGAACTGTAGTGAGTGTGTTGCTCAGGAAGTGTGGGTTATAGTAAGCGTGGGGAGCTGCAGTGAGTGTTCTGCTCAGGTAGTGTGGGTTATAGGAGGTGTGGGGAGCTTCAGTGGGCATGCTGCTCAGATAGTGTGGGTTATAGGAGGTGTGGGGAGCTTCAGTGGGCATGCTGCTCAGATAGTGTGGGTTATATGAGGTGTGGGGAGCTTCAGTGGGCATGCTGCTCAGATAGTGTGGGTTATAGGAGGTGTGGGGAGCTGTAGTGAGTGTGCTGCTCAGCAAGTTTGGGTTATAGTAAGCGTGGGGAGCTGCAGTGAGTGTTCTGCTCAGGTAGTGTGGGTTATAGGAGGTCTGGGGAGCTGGAGTTAGTGCGCTGATCAGGTAGCGTGAGTTAGAGGACGTGTGTGATCCTCATCATGCTACTTAGGTAATGATGGTTGTAGAAGATGTGAAGAGATGGGACGAGCATTCTGCTCAGATAATGCAGACACTTTCCAGAAAAATACTTGTGAACTGTTTAAATAACGCCTGTTTGGCTATGTATGATAATTTTGGGGTTTTGAAGTCACCTAGCAGGACCAAGCATAAAGAGTTACACAAGGTGTTGACTTCATTAAAATGGATGTACACTGATCAGCCACAACATTAAAACCACAGAAGTGAATAATATTAATCAAATTGTTACAATGGCACCTGTCAAGGGGTTGGACATATTAGGTAGCAAGTTAATTGTCAGTTCTTGAAGTTTATGTATTGGAAGCAGGAAAAATGGTCAAGAGAAAAGATCCAAGTGATTTTGACAAGGGCCAAATTGTGAGGGTTAGACAAACAGGGTCAGAGCATCTCCCAACCGGCAAGTCTTGCAGGGTGTTCCTGGTATGCAGTGATTAGCACCTTCCAAAAATGGTGTAAGAAGAACAACTAGTGAATCGACATCAGGGTCATGGGCGCCCAAGGCTCATTGATGTATGTGGGGAGTGAATGCTAGGCCGCCTTCTCTGATCATACAGAAGAACTACTGTAGCTAAAATTGCTGAAAAACTTAATACTGGCCATGATAGAAAGGTGTCAGAACATGCAGTACATTGCAATTTGCTGTGTATGGGGCTGTATAGCCGAAGACTAGTCATCACAACGGTGTTTCTTAATGGCAGTGGCTTCTTTCAGCACGATAATGCACCCTTCCATACTGCAAAAAATGTTCAGGAATGGTTTGAGGAACATAACAGAGTTCAAGGTGTTACCTTGGCCTCCAAATTCCCCAGATCTCAATCTGATTGAGCATCTGTTGGGTGTGCAGGAACAGCAAATCTGATGCATGGAGGCCCCACCTCGCAGTTTTCAGGACTTAAAGGATCTGCTGCTAGTGTATTGGTGCCAGATACCACAGGACACGTTCCATGGCTTTGTGGAGTCAATGCCTCTACACATTGTTTTGACAGCATGATATTAGGCAGGTGATTAGGCAGAAATGGTAACTGAATAAACAAATAATAAATTAGGGTATGTGATATTACAGCTGCAGAGGGGATGTACGTGGTACATGTAACAAAGACGAGTTTTCTCCATGCTGCATGTCTTGAGACATGAATGTTAACGAAGAAAACAACCTCTCAGTGGATTTGTTAACAGACTATCAGCCAGGGCTCCTTTCTGTGAAGAGAGCCTTGACCTCAGCTGAGGTCTAACAGAGAGGCTTCAGGTGGAGGTAGTAATGTCATCGATAGTGGTGTGTGGCAATACTGAAAGTAGAGCCACTCCAGTGGTTGGACATGTACAACCAGAGCATGTAAATAGGACAAGAGACAGTGTTCTGTTCTAAGATGTATAAGGGTTATAAAGAGGAAGGAAGCATATCTGTCACATGCAGAAGAACAGTTAAACCTTAAGAAGTTAAATAGCTTTATTAAATCAGGATACCAAAAGAGTAGTTTGAGCTATCAGAATTTGAAATATTTTCAATTCAAGGTAATAGAGGGCATTCAATCATATAACTGGTGATAGCAAGTGATTTTTTTGTTAGCCAAGGCTCGCCATAGAGGGTGGAAAAACAACAAATTGTCACCAAGGCTTGTTACATCAGGCTTTTAGATATGCAGAGAGTGATGATAATCTGTGTCAAGTGGCATAGGAATGACCCAGATGTGGATGGTCCTCGAAATGTGTGGAGTTGTGTAGAAGGACCATAAAGCGTTGCCGTGTGTCCTGTATAGGCAGGTGATTTTAATTTTGTGGCTGATCAGTGTATATAGTCTAGCGTAGGATCAATTTTAGGATAAATTTGGATGATAGGTTATGAATATCTCAGTGAGAGGTCATAGTGTAGCCATATACCAAGACATTATAGCAGTAAACTAGGACAACTGGTAATTTTATATTGCATATTTATGAGTAGTTTTTGTAATATATAAAGGTCTATTTATAAAATTATCTTCTTTTCATTTCCACCAAATAATATTGTGACCGAAAATAAATGTTATTTATTTTTCATTTCAGTAATGAGTTTCTGCATTGATTAATATCAGTTGTATGCATCACTTGTCCATCATTTCATTTATTTTAATTAATTGTTTTTAACCCAGGCACGGCAGAGTTTTACAGAGTCATTGATAGCGTGCCAGTATTACGCTGGAAGGAATTTGTTAGACGACTGGGCCTCAGCGACAATATCATAGACACTTGCGAACACGAGAACAAGCATCTTCGAGATGCACAGTATGCCATGCTCAGTAAATGGAGCCTACAGGTCGGGCCCTCAGGAGCCACTAAAGATGTTGTCATTGGAGTATTACGAGACATGGACCTCGCAGGGTCCATAGAAAGAATCCTGGAGGGATAATAAATGACTTATTGAAGTTTTTTTTTTTTTTAAATGTACATTGTGCTCACAAGTCATGTATTTAATTTTTGTATCTCTCAACTTCCCCATAGTCCAAAGGACAAAATAGAGAAGTATTTTAAAATAGAGAAAAGGATAAAATTATGTTTGTACAGGAACCAAAACCGACTAGGCATATCTCAGACTCTTGCATTGACTCTTGTTAGGATTATAAATATTTATACTGTTTATACTGTATTTTCACTAAACACACCACAATGTATTGCCGTGTTGGCTGAAGGTCGCATATCACCACCCAGTGATTCAATACGAGGACTTCTTTCTCGTGTAGAATGAACATTTTCTCGGTTGTTGAAACAAAATGGCCATTTGCAAAAATGTAAAAGTGCAAGTTTGTTTATATTGCTAAGGATAATCTACAGTACAGGGTTTTGACTGTATAAAAAAAAAAAAAAAGAATTACGCGCTGATTTATTCCCTGATTTATTAATCTGCCCTGTGGTGTAACTCGAAGAAATTACACTTTTGAAAAGTATTTTAAATGTTTAAGGATCTGTGAGTCTCGTTTGCGGCCAAATGTATATGTTTATGGATGTAAATTATTTTAAAAAAAAAATATTTTCAGGGTTGAGTAATGAGATCCATGCGTTCCCTATATTTTAGAAAGTCATTTACAATACTTTAAGTTACAATGTAATATTTTATGTTTCTGAATCACAGTTGATAAGCTTGCCAATCATGCATCATTACTTTATTAGAAGATTTGTATATATAATGTACATTAAAAAAAATAGGGAAAGGCAATTACATGTATGCAAATGCTTGTAAATAAAGAACTATAATTTTATAGGATATATATATATTTTTTACAAGATTCTTCTTTTAGGGTAGGCATTGCAGTGTAGCTAGAACAGTACATTTTGTCGGTCATTTGTTTGCTCTCTTAGAGACATAGAAAATAAAAAGGACACAATTTATATTTAACACTAGGTAAAGATTGTATTTACTAATAAAATGTATTTTACATATATCTCCATGGCAAGAACAATTCGTGCTAGAGATATCCTGGCAATGTATATAGTGCATTATAACTCAACAAATTCCAGTATTAAATTGTAGTCCAGGCTAGTGATGTACCGAACGGTCCGCCGAACAGTTTGCCGAACGGTTCGCCACAGATGGCGAACATAAACATAAAGTTGAATGTGTCTGCTGACCTCACAGTCAGCAGGCACATTCCAGCCAATCAGCAGCCGACCCTCCCTCCCAGACCCTCCCACCACCTGGACAGCTCACTAAGAATGCAGCTTCACAATGAATGTAAAATGGATGCTGTCCAGGAGGTGGGAGGGTCTGGGAGGGAGGGTCTGCTGCTGATTGGCTGGAATGTGTCTGCTGACTGTGAGGTACAGGATAAAAGTTTATGTTTATGTTCGCCGTCCGTGGCGAACCGTTCGGGACATCACTAGTCCAGGCACCATAACCACTTCAGACAGTTTTAGTAATTTGGGTTCCAAGAGTCCTCTAAAACCATCCTTTGGGTAGTAGTAAAACCAGTTTTGAACAGTTTCACTGTTTCATGTTTGGTACTTACCCGTGAAACGGTGAATGGAGACTCCTATAACTATAACCACTACTGTGTGTATAGTGGTTTAAATGCCTAGCCCATGGGCGCCCAAAAGGTAGATCCCCAGATGTTTTAAAACTACAGCTTCCATGATGCTTTGCCATTCTAAAGACATTCTAAAGGCATTCCAATGGTATACAAAGTATCATGGTAGTTGTACAACATCTGGGGATCTACCTTTTGGGCTAGAGTCACTAGACTAAATCTTAAATTCACACTAATGAAAAGTTTGGGGTCACTCAGGACCCACATGTTGTTCGCATGTTGTTATATATTGTTTTAACATTTGCTATAGGAATGGGGATCTGCCGGTGTTAGTGTACATAATAATGGATTTGTGTTTTGCATGTGAATGAGAACTGGAATTACTTATGGTTGATGGCCTTTTCGTCACTGGTGCTAATAAATGTGTGTCTTGCAAGATATCATATTATTATTATTATTATTTATTATCAAAGCATAAACATATTCTGCAGCATTTTATAATGGGTATACAAGGATATCAACAGCTAACAAGATCAAGCAATGTGAGGTGCACAGATACAAGAGGTGAGGGAGGCCTTGTACATATGAGCTTACAATTTAGAGTAGGTAGAAAATAACTACACAAGAGTCACTGCTTGTGCCGGTGTAACAGAGAAGAGAGAAATTGGTTTGGTCCAGCTAAACATATGTATACAATTTGTAAGCTGTGCAAGGTAGTTGTGGTGTAGCGAGGTGACACAGGATTATAGACTATACAAGTGTAAACTGAGTGAGAAGGGACAGATTCAATAAACATATACTTATTTTGAAATTACCCTGCTAAATCACTGTTCAGTGGGTCTGCCAATACTGGGGGAAAAAACTGGTACCTTCCTCCCAGCTAAAATTGAGCCACGATGGAAAGGCAGACAGGAGGGGGGGCAGACTGGGAGAGTGTCTGACCCCCAACAGCCTCAGCGAGCCAACTGGACTCCAGGGAAGCCAGAAGGTAGGAAACAAGAGGGTGGCTAAAACATTTACATTTGCATGTGTGTGTTTGTGTATATTTGTGTGTCTGTATGTTAGCGTTTGCATCTATGTCTCTGTATGTGTTTCTGTGTATCTGCGTTTGTATCTGTATGTGTATCTGTTTGTATGTATTTGTATTTGTGTATCTATCCGTGTGTATATGTGTGGAAGATAGCATCAGGAAGCAGCGCCTGTAGTGGTGTTTCCATGCTCAGAACGACATGGAGGAAGAAAGGAAAAGATGCAGATATAGTGTAGTATGTTAGACCTCTTTGTTGCTGTTAAATAAGCAAAAAACATGCACTTACACTTTTCTGGAGCTTGTGCTCATCTCCAGATATATGCACCTGGACGTTACAATCCCCGTTTGTGGATATATTGTAGGTCCTTGTGTGTATTCAGGGGCGTTTTCAAAGGTAGTGGGGCTGTTCTTTTTCAATAGCAGTGGTCCAGCTATCGGATATTCTCAGTGTACAGGAAAAAAAAGATAAAACCCCAAATAGTGTTCTTTTGATGGTACAAGATGGAACAAAAATAAAAGAAGGGGATATACTCCCAAGTGGGGAGCAAATGGGATATTGCTCAATATAATTAGGCATAGGTGGTATGATCCCCACCAAGGATATCAATTGCCGAGTCCTCCAGTTGTAGATAAAAAATTGTTAAAATATTAAAATGTTAAAAGGATAGGCTTTGAGGCTCCAAATAGCGTAAATTGGCTATCTTTACTGGAGACATATAAAATCAATTGTAGCATAAAACAGCTTAAAAACACTAACACGTTTCACCTGCAAAAAGAGGCTTTATCAAAGACACTACATATAAACACACCTCTACATTCAAAGGTAAACACTACACACAAGTAAACCACTGTTTTCAAATGGCAACAGTACATAAAAACATACTACACGCAAATATACCCCTACATTCACACACACATACTCCATACAAAACATGCTTACGTTCAAACAACAAACACGGCTCAGTGCTAAACACAACCCTGCAAAGATGGGCAAACAAATTATAGATCCCAAGTTGTCAAGGCATTGTGGAAGTTATATGACAGATGGAGATCTACCTTTAGGCCATCCCTGCAAAAGTGCGTGTGTGTGTGTGTGAAGGGGAGAGGGGGAAAAAAAATTCTTGCACCAAGGACCTCTCTACTTTAGTTTTGCCACTGCCCTGCATGTACTTGCAATGCCCCTCTACCTGACTCTTAACTGCCCTGCCTGTACTCACAATGCCATCCTACCAAAACCTTAACTGCCCTGCCTGTACTCACAATGTCCCTCTACCTCAATCTTAACTGCCCTACCCTTCCTCACAATGCCCCTCTACCAAACTGAACTACACTGCCTGTACTCACAGTGCCACCCTAACAGAACCTTAACAGCCCTGCCTGTACTCACAATGCCATCCTACCTGACCATTAACTGCCCTGCCTGTACTCACAATGCTATCCTACCTGAATATTAACTGCCCTGCCTGTACTCACAATGCTATCCTACCTGAACATTAACTGCCCTGCCTGTACTCACAATGCTATCCTACCTGAACATTAACTGCCCTGCCTGTACTCACAATGCCATCCTACCTGAATATTAACTGCCCTGCCTGTACTCACAATGCCATCCTACCTGACCATTAACTGCCCTGCCTGTACTCACAATGCCATCCTACCTGACCATTAACTGGCCTGCCTGTACTCACAATGCCATCCTACCTGAACATTAACCGCCCTGCCTGTACTCACAATGCCATCCTACCTGACCATTAACTGCCCTACCTGTACTCACAATGCCATCCTACCTGACCATTAACCGCCCTGCCTGTACTCACAATGCTATCCTACCTGACCATTAACCGCCCTGCCTGTACTCACAATGCTATCCTACCTGACCATTAACCGCCCTGCCTGTACTCACAATGCCATCCTACCTGAACATTAACCGCCATGCCTGTACTCACAATGCCATCCTACCGGACCATTAACCGCCCTGCCCGTACTCACAATGCTATCCTACCTGAACATTAACCGCCCTGCCTGTACTCACAATGCCATCCTACCTGACCATTAACCGCCCTGCCTGTACTCACAATGCTATCCTACCTGACCATTAACCGCCCTGCCTGTACTCACAATGCCATCCTACTACCTGACCCTTAACTGCCCTGCCTGTACTCACAATGCCATCCTACCTGAACATTAACCGCCCTGCCTGTACTCACAATGCCATCCTACCTGACCCTTAACTGCCCTGCCTGTACTCACAATGCCATCCTACCTGAACATTAACTGCCCTGCCTGTACTCACAATGCCATCCTACCTGACCATTAACCGCCCTGCCTGTACTCACACTGCCATCCTACCTGACCATTAACCGCCCTGCCTGTACAGTGGGTGTGATTTTGTGAATGTGACTGTGTGATAATTTGTGTGTATGTATGTATGTGACTGTACATGTTGTGAATCTGTGTATGTGACTTTATGTGTAATTGAGTGAATGTGGCTGTGTCTCTGTATTAACCGCCCTGCCTGTACTCACAATGCCATCCTACCTGACCCTTAACTGCCCTGCCTGTACTCACAATGCCATCCTACCTGACCATTAACCGCCCTGCCTGTACTCACAATGCTATCCTACCTGACCATTAACCGCCCTGCCTGTATTCGCAATGCCATCCTACCTGACCCTTAACAGCCCTGCCTGTACTCACAATGCTATCCTACCTGACCATTAACTGCCCTGCCTGTACTCACAATGCTATCCTACCTGACCATTAACTGCCCTGCCTGTACTCACAATGCCATCCTACCTGACTCTTAACTGCCCTGCCTGTATTCACAATGCCATCCTACCTGACCATTAACTGCCCTGCCTGTACTCACAATGCCATCCTACCTGACTCTTAACTGCCCTGCCTGTACTCACAATGCCATCCTACCTGAATATTAACTGCCCTGCCTGTACTCACAATGCCATCCTACCTGACCATTAACCGCCCTGCCTGTACTCACAATGCTATCCTACCTGACCATTAACTGCCCTGCCTGTACTCACAATGCCATCCTACCTGACTCTTAACTGCCCTGCCTGTACTCACAATGCCATCCTACCTGACCATTAACTGCCCTGCCTGTACTCACAATGCCATCCTACCTGACTCTTAACTGCCCTGCCTGTACTCACAATGCCATCCTACCTGAATATTAACTGCCCTGCCTGTACTCACAATGCCATCCTACCTGACCATTAACCGCCCTGCCTGTACTCACAATTCCATCCTACCAGATCCTTAACTGCCCTGCCTTTACTCGCAATTCCATCCTACCAGACCCTTAACTGCCCTGCCTGTACTTGCAATGCAGTCTGTTCTTTCTGTTCTGCTGCTTAACTTTCCAGGAGACCTCAAACTCCGGCCATTAATCAGAGTAGGAGGTGGCGTGTGAAAGGGAGTGGGCCTGGACTGGGGCGAGCAGGTCAGGAATAAGAACATTACTGTGATAGTTTTGTAATATATACTGCACTTATCTCAGTTACCACAATGGCAAATCATTGCTTGACCAACATTCTGATCCATTCTTTTGTTTGTCAGTGGCAAAGTCCTCTACTCAGTCTCAGACTGCACTGGATTTAATGGTGCTCCCTTTTAAAGCGAGTTTAATTAGAGGGTATTTGGCTGTTTGTGATACAATGTAATCTGTGAGCAATGCTCTGGGTAATTCACTGTATTTGATCCCAGCAGATACAGTTGGTTATACATTCATTGACTGAACATAATCATCATTCAGTATATATTTATACATATATACATATGCACAATGTGGACTTTATAAAGAGAGAAGATGATTTTCAATTGGGTACCAGTGATTAATGAGTACAAGTATCTTTTAATGTCTGTGATGACACAGCCTTAGTCCAGTGATGGCCAAGAGTCATGGGCTATCAAATGACTGTTAAATGGAATTACCATTGGCTAGTTTTGGTACTCCAGTTGTATGTGTGTCAGTATAAGTGTACATGTGCATACATGCTACACAACAACTCTACATGCAAATACAAACACTTCTTGTGATGTTATGTCTGGTGACATCATGCCCAGTGACATCACACATATACAAATAATTATGCAGATTATTATGGCCGGTATTTTTTTGCAAGAAAGGTGGGAACCCTACGGATTTCCCGCCCTGAGTCAATGTCGAAATTAACGAGGACACCTAAGCTTATTTAAGTTACTGCTGGGTAAATGAGCAATTAAATGTTGGGAAAGTTATAAAAACGAGAAACATGCTGTCTGACAAGATCTCATAGTACATTTCACGGATGAAGTTTAATTGATTGCTTAATCATAAAAGAGTGTTCTGTTTTTATGAAATAATACACTTTTAAATGTGATTTTCTTACAGCAGAAAATGCAGGCATATTT